ATGACCTAAAATGTTATAAAGGCACTCACTTTGCCCTTGTAAATAGAAGGATCATCAACACCAGCTAAGGTAATAGAACCAGTTGAGGAGGTGTTCTAGGGGTTAAGATTATAAGAAACCCAATCAACTACCGAGTAACTACGGATTCGAACAAAGTCAGTTGAGATGGGGATGAGGGTCCCACGAGCGCGAATCGTCCGTTCCATGGCGTCAATAAGGTCAACACAAAATTTAAAACCGCCCTTCAAAACGCAGATAGCAATAATGTGTTGGACCTTTTGCTTTTCGAAATGCTCGATAATCTCGGAGGCAACCTTCTCAATGCGATCCTTGATCAAGCCATTTGGAATCATAAGACTGCCCAGATAATCCCGATACTTTGGAGAAACACAAAAATGTGATATCTCATAGCTTTGATAGTTGTCAGGAATCACAACCACGGAGGCAGGCTTAGTCTCTGCTTGCGATTCCATCTTGGCAGTACTTAGAGAAAGATGCAACTAAAAATGATCGAAAATCATAGAACCGAATGCAATTAACCGGAAAACCAAAAGTAGAACATTAAACAACGGTGCACATATTAATGACCCCAAAAATGCATCCAAGGTTACTACTACTACAACAACAAGGGTAGGAGAAAGCAATCTCACCAGCAGCTGAAGGAGGACAAGGGTTCGCGAGTGACGCGCTGAACGAAGAAGGGACCTTAAATGTAGCGTGGGTCATCAATATCATTATTTTAACCGAATTTTTTAAAAGTTCTTCAACCCCTATTAAATCTACTATAGGTTCATAATCATTTTAAAAATTCTAAAAAACTTGGATAAGATATTTAAAAAATATAACGGCCTGTAATATGCTTACAACAATTAATGATATTGTTATTTACGTATCTTGGAGAAATTTCGCGATAGGAAAGACACAGTTAAGCAAACGAAACAAGCGCGTGTCCTTTTAGGGGTCATATTATAGTCATTGTAATTATGAATGCATGGACTGGTCCACCACCTTTCCTTC